CGCGCTGGGAGGCATCATACGGTACTTCTCGGTCTCGCATTGTTCCGCCTCTCTGGATGGAATCCTGTAAGACAAATGGTCACGGTTAATATTTTGTTCTACTAAAAATTTGGGATTAAAAAGGTAATAAAAACAGAAATTGTCTAAACTTTATATTTTACTAAAATGATGTCCATTAGTTCCCATCTCCATCTTATTCCCTTCACCTTTTCCCTCCTTAGAGGGGAACTTCGCTCTCTCCATCAACATGGACTATTTGTACTCCTTATGCTGCTAGCATTAGTAAATGGATAGCAAAGTGTATATTTATTTGTTTTTACATTTCGTCATTTACTTCCTGGTTTCCATGCCTAGGCAAATTTGTTTTATTTTTTGTATTTATTTCAGGTACTTCTATAGCGCCGTCAATTTACTCAGCGCTTTGCATATATATTGTACATCCACATCAGTCCCTGCCCCCGAGGAGTGTACAATCTAAGGTCCTCCTCTATTGCCCGGGGGCCCCATTAGTTGTCAGTCCGCCCCTGTCCCTAACTCACATTCATACATACCTACTAGGGCCAATTTAGACAGGAACCAATTTTTGGCACTTTGGAGTGTGGAAGGAAACCAGAGTACCCGGAGGAAACCAACACAGGCAGAGGGAGCACATACAAACTCCAGGCAGGTGGTGCCATGGTTGGGATCTGAACCATCATCCTAGTAGGCAGAAGAGCTAACCATTTAACCACTGTGCTGCCCAAATGATGTCATACATCCCAGGAGTCTTCAGGAGGGGAGGGTTTTCAGCTCAGCCAATGCCTGAGCTAAGGGCAGATGGATTCCAGGAAGTAAATGCTACATGGATCATCTGCCCGTGCTCAAGATGGCCACTGCCAGAAATGCTAGGGGGAAAGGGGGGAAATCCCTGAAAGGAAAGGAAAGAAAGCTGCAGGGATTTCAAATCCTGAGATCTGTGGTAGCAGCTTTTTCTCCTCTCCTTTCAGGGATGACAGTACGGGCTAGATGGCTGCGGATTGGTCGGCACCGTCCATGTGATGGTGTCGACCAATCAAAAGCCCTAGGCAGATGGATTCCAGGAAGTAAATGCTACATGAATCATCTGTCCTTACTCTTTTCCTCCCCTTACACCAATGACGGGGAACTATTCCTCTTACTAACACCAATAATGGGGCACTATTCTGCCCTTACTCAAGATGGCCACTGCCAGAAATGCTAAGGGGAAAGGGGCAAAATCCCTCCAAGGAAAGGAGAGAAAGCCGCAGGGATTTCAAATCCCGAGATCTGTGGTAGCAGCTTTTTCTCCTCTCCTTGCAGGGATGATAGTACGGGCTAGACGGCTTCTGATTGGTCGGCACCGTCCATGTGATGGTGCTGACAAATCAAAAGCCCTCTAGCCCGAACCGTTATCCCTGCAGAATGCCAAGGGGATTTCAAATCGCAGCCGTAGGAGAGGAGAGAAAGTGGCAGGGAATACGGAGCATCTACCACCAGGTATACATCCCCACTCACCCTTCTCTCCACTGTGGGAAACCTCCCTGCACCGCTCCTGTGTGAAGTGAGTCCATGACAATCCCGGGATCACACAGGAGCAGAGGGGAAACCGCATTCCTGCTCCAACCGCATGGTATTCTTCTGCGGTGCAATACAACACAGAATGTACAGACGCAAATCGCAGCGCAGAGGATCGGCGATCAGAAAAGGGTATTGGGGCCCCTAGTAACGCCCCATCGCCGGGCCCTACTTATCTTCCTCAATAACTCGCCATTTGAAATCTCTTCCAAAGAATTCCATTATAACTAAAACAACGAAGTGAAATGTTTACTTACTTGTTGCGGAACTTTGCGGGACACGGAGAGGGAACTTTGTCCATGTCCTTGTGAACGACCACTTGGTACATGATGTTCCTAAAGACAAACAAAGAAAGATGTATGAGATATCGGATCGACACACCAGAATATACAGGAACTGCTCTAACAATACACAAGACGGGATTTCATGGTGAAATAGAAAAGATGATGTTAAATCGAGTAACTAGATACCAAACACGTAGAGCTTTACAACCGCGCCCGCCCGTGCAACAGCGACAAATGACGGCAATTTAAAAGCCTTTAGAGGGGACCACTTTAGATGTACAGAGGAGGTCTGGTGCTACAATTACCGCCCATAATCCCACGTTTGCCGCGATACCGCACGTGTGTGGGACGATCGCTGCTTGTGTGCGCGCTGGACCGATGTGTGGGGCGCTATTCCCCCCACTGACACCAGGGACGGGGCGCTCTTCCCCCCACTGACACCAGGGACGGGGCGCTCTTCCCCCCACTGACACCAGTGACGGGGCGCTTTTCCCCCCACTGACACCAGTGACGGGGCGCTCTTCCTCCCACTGACACCAGTGACGGGGCGCTCTTCCTCCCACTGACACCAGTGACGGGGCGCTCTTCCTCCCACTGACACCAGTGACGGGGCGCTCTTCCCCCCACTGACACCAGGGACGGGGCGCTCTTCCCCCCCACTGACACCAGGGACGGGGCGCTCTCCCTCCCACTGACACCAGTGACGGGGCGCTCTTCCTCCCACTGACACCAGTGACGGGGCGCTCTTCCTCCCACTGACACCAGTGACGGGGCGCTTTTCCTCCCACTGACACCAGTGACGGGGCGCTATTCCCCCCACTGACACCAGTGACGGGGCGCTATTCCTCCCACTGACACCAATGACGGGGCGCTATTCCTCCCACTGACACCAGTGACGGGGCGCTTTTCCCCCCACTGACACCAGTGACGGGGTGCTATTCCTCCCACTGACACCAATGACGGGGCGCTATTCCTCCCACTGACACCAGTGACGGGGCGCTTTTCCCCCCACTGACACCAGTGACGGGGCGCTTTTCCCCCCACTGACACCAGTGACGGGGCGCTTTTCCCCCCACTGACACCAGTGACGGGGCGCTTTTCCCCCCACTGACACCAGTGACGGGGCGCTTTTCCCCCCACTGACACCAGTGACGGGGCGCTTTTCCCCCCACTGATACCAGTGATGGGGCACTATTCCTCCCACTGACACCAATGATGGGCACTATTCCTCCCACTGACACCAATGATGGGGTACTATCAGGGGCGGACTGACCATTGGGAAACTCGGGGACTGCCCGAGGGCCCGGGGTCAGTAGGGGCCCCATGAGATGCCCCTGGTACCTTTTTCATAGGCTTTTTTGAGTGTGGGCAAGGATACAGGGGCCCCATGATCCCCTATTGCCCGGGGGCCCCATGAGTTGTCAGTCCACCCCTGGGTACTATTCCTCCCACTGACACCAATGATGGGAACTATTTCTCCTTCCAGTGACTACAAGCACGATGTCATTCTTTGTTCCTCCGGACTCGGGGACATTTTCTGCTCCCACTGGCCACTCTGACCCTCTTACAGTCAGAAGGACAATATTCGGGCCGCTTGTTAGAAATATCGGAGTCCCGGGTCTCTATGTTCCTAAAATCTATTCCCAGAGGAAACGTGTCCTTACCTTCTCTCCTCGGGGTCACGGGTGTCAAAAGTCGTCATCATTAGATCCGTCCGCTGGCAACGCTTCTCCTCCTCCATAGCGATTGCCTCCTTACGTAGCATCTTCGTCTCCTTCATCTCCAAAGGCCAAACCTCTCGGATATCGAACACGACGAACGTTCTTTTATGGATTGTATTCACAATGGCCATCTATAAAGAAAACACAAAGTCAGGTTGGAGCGCGGAGCTAGAACATGGAGAAAAGGCCAAACTTGGCCTGTCAGTTGGCTGTTGGGGTCTCCTACCCAGTGTGCAGGGGCACAACTCCTAATGGGAACCCGACGGCCAACTGATGGGACCGGCTGAGTGATCTCTGTACTGCGCTGCGGTCTATGTCAGAGCTACATACATGTATAATAATAGGGTGTGACTGTGGGGGAGGGGACATTAGAGTGTAAGCTCCTCTGGTACAGAGACTGATGGGACTGTGGGGAAGGGGACATTAGAGTGTAAGCTCCTCTGGTACAGAGACTGATGTGACTGTGGGGGAGGGGACATTAGAGTGTAAGCTCCTCTGTACAGAGACTGATGGGACTGTGGGGGAGGGGACATTAGAGCGTAAGCTCCTCTGGTGCAGACTGATGTGACTGTGGGGGAGGGGGACATTAGAGTGTAAGCTCCTCTGTACAGAGACTGATGTGACTGTGGGGGGAGGGGACATTACAGCGTAAGCTCCTCTGGTGCAGAGACTGATGGGACTGTGGGGGAGGGGACATTAGAGTGTAAGCTCCTCTGGTACAGAGACTGATGGGACTGTGGGGGAGGGGACATTAGAGTGTAAGCTCCTCTGTACAGAGACTAATGGGACTGAGGGGGAGGGGACATTAGAGTGTAAGCTCCTCTGGTACAGAGACTAATGGGACTGTGGGGGAGGGGACATTAGAGTGTAAGCTCCTCTGTACAGAGACTAATGGGACTGTGGGGGAGGGGACATTAGAGTGTCAGCTCCTCTGGTACAGAGACTGATGTGACTGTGGGGGAGGGGACATTAGAGTGTAAGCTCCTCTGTACAGAGACTAATGGGACTGTGGGGGAGGGGACATTAGAGTGTAAGCTCCTCTGTACAGAGACTAATGGGACTGTGGGGGGAGGGGACATTAGAGTGTAAGCTCCTCTGTACAGAGACTAATGGGACTGTGGGGGGGGGGGGATATTATCTAAATATCACACAATGCAGTACTACTACTAATGGGGGGGGGGGGGGGGAATTAGACAGATTTCTGAACCCCTCACTAAAGATGAAGCTAACGCTCCACCCAAAACTGATATTGTAGCTGGTATTCAGGTTTGCCCATTATGAGGGGTTCCCACCATCCCTGTGCCGAGTTCCCAGGGTCTGTACACCTGCTGCGCCCAATATGAGGGGTTCCCACCATCCCCGTGCGGAGTTCCCAGGCCAAAAACATGAAATTGCATCAAATTTGCAGCGACGCGCGTTTTTG